TCACCGAGACGGCCGAGCCAATGATCGCAAAGCAGCAAGCTCGAATTTGCAATCGATAGGCCTCCCGCGACACTTGTTGCTAGCGCGACTGAGCGGGTCATCGAACGGCATGATTTTCAGGGTAGTACCTAGGGAGTTGCTCCGGTATTGCAGCATGCAATGCACCCACCGCGTACTACTCACATTGCAGTAGCTGCCATCTTTTGAGGAAGGTTGTACGACAGTGCGTCAACCGCGCGGCTCCACACACGGCTCGGGTCGGCAGACTTCCACATCAGGAATAGGCGTGGGGTCTCTCAAAGCAAGATCACAAATGTCTCGTCTTTCAGTGGCTTGGTTTGGTTTTGCATGTGACCGGAGAATCAACGTCGAATTATGACTTCAACTAAAAGGTATTGCGTGGAAACAAAAGCAGAACTATTGGCTATAAGATCCTGCAAGAGTACAGCAGAGTTGCGACTTTAGTCGCAGCACACCACTACAACTGCGATTGCTCGCTCGAGCAACCTCGACCAGGAAGAGATGCGTCATGTGGCGCGATTTGTACAGATGTTCGACTGGATCTCGAATTCTGGTGGAGAAAGACATTGGTTGCCAGTTGCCATCTTCCCCCCGCGTACACGTATGCGGATGCTATGTGCGCGCTAGTCGGTCGCTTCTTGAGCGGTGCCCGGATACAAAGTCGGTCTGAGCTCGTTTGCACATGGAAAAAATACCTCGACTACTCGCTATCATCCGGTCGACATCCGGTAAGTCTACTTGAAGTCGATCGTATACGCCAAGACGTACCATGACAGCGCTGGCTCTAGCTACGATATATCCGGACGAAGGATTTTTCTTGCCAGCTCGTCCTGATGGGGTACTAGGACATGCAAGCCTCTTCGTATATCTCCAGTTAAAACGCAAACGTACTCCGGATGTGTGATTGGAACCGATGGCCTGCTTCAATCCTTAACCGCACGTGCGTAGGCATTGCTACCAGGATCCAAGCCGGGCCAGTGGGTGTGTCCGCGTCATCCGTATCCAGACACGTGGGAAGAGGTGTGCATGATCAAAAAGAAAGGAACCCATGGAGAAGCGGGCCTTGGACCTCATTGCCTGCAGGCAATGCTACCCGCGATGTTACCTTTGTCTCCCGCTATCGATATCTCTGTATGCACGCAATGACGATTAAACCTTGTACCGCTTCGAGAGACCCTGGAAGATATGAAGGCGTGTTAGGTCACCTGGCGGCTTGCACAAGGACGGCCGAGGTAGGTCCTTTTGCTGGTCTGGGAATACAGCGGTAAGTAGGCTCTGTCCTTGAAGTCGCTTCCTTAGGTGCAGCGAGGTACAGATGCGATACAAGACCGACGTCGGATTTGACTCCACCAGAGCTTTTGTCCTCCAATCAGATGTGAGCGGTCGGTCCTACCTCTTGGTAGTGGTGCCATGTGGGGCAAAACCCGCCTAAGCGCGCCTTTGCAACTGTCACTTTTCGACATCGATAGCTTGCCGTGCACTCACCTATTCGCCATCTTGGTCGGCGGCAGTCCATCAAGGGTCGCGGCTTGACCTAGCCGTATCGATAGTCAGGGGTCCTGAAGGGCCTCTTCCGTCATCTAGCGCACGGAACATTTCCTCATCCAGCTGTGATTCGCCCACGCGTTCGTGCGTTTGCGCACAAGCCTCGAATTAGAGCCGCAGCCTCGGACTCGTCCAGACGTTCACCGTTTTCCCCGATTCCCACACTACACCCTTATGGATCGGACCGTTGGTCCTTCCAGCATGACGGACGAGGCGCTTCGTGTTCTGCGTGGTAGTTGCATCGGGTCTACTTACTTTCTAGGACAGCAGACGTTGTGATAGCGCTAGAGAAGGGTGGGTTGCTCGTCTTTTCATCGACCGCGGAACACACGATAGGTGAGAGCGTCCATCGAGCGACGCAGCTTGTGTAGCATGCAGATGGCCTGACATTAATCCGATCGTGCTGCAGTGCAGTGGCACAGTTCAGCTAGCCAACAATGACTTTAGTTTACTTGCATAGAAGCTTAGACGTAATGTAACGGGTCGTTCCAACCGGCTCGTCCGCGCAGCAGAACCTGTAGCTAGAGCAACGTCGATATGGTAACTTTCTATATGTACCAATGCTTGACACCCCGCGCCTATTAGCCCAATCTAAGGTCTTACTTCGTAACCAAACTTTACTGCCATCATGGACTTTTTAGAGATGCAGAGCGTACATTTGCCAGCGCTCAGCCCATTGGCGGTCAATGCTGCGAGCAGCATCTTCGGTTTGATATCGATTTTCTTTTGTTACAAGGCCTTGGTTGCGAAGAAGCTGGTACGTACCGGATGCACATCCTCCGTATGCATTATGAGTGCACACTGACCTGTTCACCAGGCTTCTTCTCCATCAAGGATCTTGAAGACCATCTTCAAGCCTATCACCAAGCGGTACCAGGCATGGGCATATCTCTTCTGGGGCCCTGAAATCATCCAGAAAGCGTTTGATGAGGCGAAAGGGAAGCCATTCGAGCTCTTCGCCCCGGATAACCGCTATGTCTTTGTCTCCGACCCTCAGCAGATCAAGGAGCTAGACAATGCGCCAGATACGGTGCTGTCACTTCAGGCAGCGTCGAAGCAGGTGAGTTCTTCGGCAGCTTTCGTTCTTGGCGATTATTGACAAAATGTAGATGCTACAGCCCCTCTACACTATGTAGGACGACCCTCGCGCTTCTCGAAGGCAGTCTTTGTGTATTCGGTCTACTAACGAATCGCAGGCACGGTTTCAACTGGTTTGACCGACGTGGTACTGAGGGTGTTGGGTTTATCCGCGCTCTTCGTACACTTTTGACCAACAACTTGCCTAAGATCCTTCCTGACCTTACTTGCATCATCCGCACCAGGTTTCAGGAGCTACATGCTGGACACCCAGTGATCAACGGTAATACAACGCCAAGCTTTAATCTATTTGACTCTGCTGACAACTATCAATAGGAAAGAAGCAGTCGGATGTGTACCACATGACTGTGAAGTTGGTCGTCTTGTCGAATGCAGTATCTTTCTTTGGAAAGGATCTGGGTAAGTCTCGTGCCAGAAACTTCGCTCATCGATTCGTACATGACTGACTGAAGGCAGCAAAGGATGAGCAGTTCATGGTCTCCGCCCTCGCATACATCGAGGAGACTTTGATCTGCGCTGAGATCGTTCGCCTGCTACCCGGGTTCATGACTCCGTAAGTGCTATTGCTGAGCCACATCAGCCCGCCTTACTAATCCGTACAGCATCGTCGGTGGCATCATCGCTCGCACACTCAAGTCACACGCTGTCATCTTTAACAGGCTTCTGCCCATTGCCGAAGAACGATGCATCGAGCGAGACGCAGCCAAGCTGGGCCAAAAAGTACCCCAACACGCCGACTGTATCCAATGGATCATGGAGACATCACCCAAGAACGCGCCCTGGACACCTCAGCGTGTCGTCCACGAGCTGATGGCCATCTGGTTCGGCTCCGTGCACGCCGTCTCCACAACCGTAACTTTCGCCATCCACGACCTCTGCCTCCACCCTGAGTACGTAGAACCCCTACGAAGGGAGTGCGAGTCCCAATACACCGCGTTTGAGCAAAGCGGTGTTGGACTTCCGCTTCTCGACAGCTTTATCAAAGAGTCTGCGCGCTTGACACCCGTTGAGTCGCAAAGCACACGCCGCTCGGCGCTCCAACCTTTCTCTCTCAAAGACGGTACCCACGTCAACATTGGAGATTGGTTCTGCACGCCCGTCCGCGCCATCATGACGAACCCCGTCGATTACCCCGAAGCAACGACATTCAGTGGTTTCCGCTTTGCTGACCCGCAACTTGTCAAGAGCCTGGAGAATGCTGATGGCGCTTTCGACATTATGCAGAAGAAGCCAACGAAACTGACTGACTTTGACATGACATTCCACGTCTGGGGAACGGGCAGAATGGCCTGGTAAGTCTCTTGCTGTATCTCGGTTGTTGTGAAGACACTGCTAACGATTCGTTACAGCCCCGGAAGGTTCTACGCCTCAGCTGTCATGAAGGTCATCCTCGGACAAGTTATCTTGAACTACGACTGTGAGCTTGTCAACCCGACTGCGAAGCGCCTCTTCACTTGGCGGTCGACCATCTTGCCTAAGCCTAGTGCTAAGGTCGTCTTCACTCCGATCAGGGAAGCGAATTAGAGAAAGAGGTCTATGGGATGGTTAACGTTGATGCTCGCTGCTGGATGTGCAGAGCAATGACGCAACGGACGATGCGGGAATGGCGTTATTTTCCTTTCTTTTCTTCTGACTGCACGAATTTCCTAGACGAGTACATGATACAACGACTGCTACACATGAATACACGCCACCTTATCATCATGACGCCTACTGCTACATTGAGCTGCTCGCCAGCCAGGGCGATGCTCGCAACCACATCACTCATAACATCACTTTGCATATCATGACACACCAACTTCTAATATGTATACATTGAACGCAGGGTATCTCCCAGAAAGAAAGCAAAAAAAAGACACGACCTAGCCGCTGAACGCCACCCATCCCAATACCGCGACCGTTTTCAGCGACAACTCGCCTACTAGCGCCCGGGCAGCCCTGATAAAAGCAAAGCACCTCCTAGCACTGCCGGTCCTCGGCCCGATTGAAGACGCGCCTAGTGTGCGCCGCCGGTAGCTAAGAGCATTCCAATTCGGACCACGTCACACGTTGGATGTGGAGCAAAGCTGCACCTAGCCATGCCGATACGGCAATACTGCAGACGCCATTCGCGCGGACAATAGTCGCGCTCCAATGCTGCAGACGCAAGACCAGAAAAAGGGAAGAAAAGAACCAGTCTAGATTTCAGCCGTTAGCTTTAGTTGCTGCGCTGGAGGATGTGGTACGTACTTTTATTATACAAGTCATTGAGGAATTGATCCAGTTCCAGATTGCGTCACTGGGTGGACGTATCCAAGTGTTCAGTCGGTTTAAGCGATGTCTTGACTGCTCAGTCACTACCAGCCCGGTCCCTGGCCAAACGGATACCGGTGGCCGGCATCTTCTAGGAAAGCATGACCAGTCTGGCTCTTGGTCAGGTGACCGTTTGCCCGTGCCATCTTCATTCCGGTCTGAGGATGCAGGAATTGGGTGTCCGACTGCGACCGTGTGAAGGGCATGGCGTCTGCAGTAATATTCAGCTTGTTCCACTCCGCCCAGTTGGTGTCGTCACGAGCTAGCAGACTGCTGTAATGATCAATGTCGCGGCGTGGTGGAGATGGGGCTGAAGCAGGCCGATTTGCTACGACGAAGCCGCGCTGTACGTTGTTCGTGGGGGATGCGTCTTCATGGGTCGCGACCTTGCCGACAGAGTCATGTTGGGGCGCGGGATGAATGTTGGAATGATAGTTCAGTCTCATCCGCTTGTCAAAGGTCGCAGGGATGAGATATCTCAATTCAAGGTGGGGTTGGGAAGGCAATGGAAGCGCTGCGTCGGAGTCGCGATCCTCTCTAATCCAGGATATGATCGAGACGGGCGGTGGTACATTGTTGACATCGTTGTGCATGGGCGAGACTGGTTTGCGTCCGGCAAAGAGGTCGACGACCCATTTGTGCCATACTCCAAGAGAGGGCTTTGTTGAGCTTACCGATGATACCTGAGCCAAAGTTGATGTAGTGATGGCTACCACTGGAGTACAATCTGTTGCAGTAACGGCCACAACCGGAGTCAGAATCGCTGGAGCAACTGTCGACACTGAAGATGGGTCTGCCGTAGTGATTGTTGCCGCTGATGCTGGATGTGCTGTAGTTACTGTTGATGCGGATGATACTGCGACCGTCGTATCCGGCCCTGTCGACGGTGAGTCTGGTGTGGCAGCTGCCACTCCTGATGGTCCATCTGCTGTAGTCTCCTCTGACACTTGGAAAGGGCCCGCTGTAGCATGTTCGGCGACAGGAGAGTCACCTAATGTAGTTTCCGTTGCCGCTGGCAGAGTATCCGGCCAAGACCAGTCTGGCTGAGGATACCAAATAGGCGCCAGGTTTAGAAGAGAGGCAGGCGGGTCGTCATCCTCATCTTCAAATTCCGTTGGCGCGCCAGAACCGCACGGGATAGCAGAGATACCATCATCGCCTGATTCGTTTCGATTATCGCTCTCGTAGGTACCGCTCGTCTCGTGATCTTGCTCGTCCGTAGCGCTACGGGCTGCTTCTGAACTGTCCGTGGTAACAGGGGCTCTGTCACGTATTAGTACGGTTCTGAGACCGCTTTTGAAGGCGCCGGCAGACTCTTGATCGTCAGTTGTTAGTACATGGCGCCTGGCGAAGGACGATCCGTTATCATCAACAGGGTTACTATTGTCGTTATGGATCGTGTTGTTGGATTCAGCAGAAGACATGTATACTGAGCCAGTCAGTGGATTCATTCGGCGGAGATACCGTTTGAAGCAACGGTGTCTACCTTTTGGCGCTTTTGTAGGGCTCTGCGCATCGCTGTTTGTTTGTTTCGCTTTCGGCTTGTCGACGTTGTGCTTCTTGCTGGTTCTACGCTGCTTCGCTTGGCTACGGAGCTGGGGGCGAGACTTGACTTTGGGCACAGTCATCGCGATACGTGCAGCTGGGTTGGATGAGATTAGAAGGTTAGTGCATGCCACTCGTAGCACGAGCGATGCGGATGCGGCAATGCGTGAGATCTGTAAAGAGCAATTCAAAATCAGACGTAGAGGCGCGGCTTGTTGTTGTGTATGCTAACAGTAGCTGCGCGTAGGAAAGTCCACAATGTTTGCAGGGTCCAACAGCGCAGTGCGCGTCGCGACAGCGCAAAGTCTAGGTGAACCAGTCGTAGGACAGAGATTGCAAATTAGAAGACAGTGACGACATGGTGAAGGAGAGCGGGAATGAGAGGAATACGTATATAGTCTTCACCGTTGACCATGTTGGGGTGGAGGTGACGGTGAGTTGATACAGAGGACGGCGCTCAGATACTTAAGGGCAGTTCAGAAGTTTGCGTGACTGTCACTTGCACCACCCGACAATCAGCTTTGATATTGAATCATTCGTGGAAGCGTCAGGTGTATACCTCATGACAGTTGTCCAAGCTCCTATTGGCGCTGAGTACCTAGGTATGTGTAAGATACGGGTCATCGATCATCACGTGTGGCTTGTCGCCGCGTCCACCCTGCTTCTAGACTGAAAAGCCGCGGCTCCTCATGCCTTGTCTGCGCAGATGTATGTGACTGCACGTCCGTTAGTACGAAGTGAAGTGAAAAGCCAAGTGGTGTGTTGGGTACCATTGTTACCACGGACGAAAGCATCTCCCCAATTCCGGGTGACGCGTCCCTCAGACACCTCCTTACATCGCTCCAGTGCAATGTTCATGTAGCCATCTACTGACTGAAGGTCGCCTACATGGAGATTAGTAATTGATGTGCATCATAGGCACGTCAAGGGCTACCTTTGTAGATGATACCAGAGTTCAGCTTGACGGTGACGGGAGCTCCGATGATTTCACTGAGGAAGCCGCTAGGATCTCTAGAGTCACCGGCCGCTTCGGGTGCTGGGCTTTCACCGTTGGTGGACATGGTGATGAGGGTGGTGGTGATGCCGAATTTTCTAGCAAACAATCAGCAATTTGTTACGACGCGTCTAGATAGATCTTACGTTGATGCTTAAGTAGGCTTAAGCGTATAAGTCTTGAAATCGGTCGCTGATGAAGATGGAAGTGAGAGATGGTGATGTTGGGTGGTGTGGAAAGGCAGAGTGCACGGGCCCAGTCTCTTCCTCATCGCGAGAAGCGTGACTGCGCGCGTTGAGGCCCCACCTGCACCAACCCGCGCCTGCCCCGACAGCGGCCTTCCAAGGTTGCCCTTTCCTACACACTACCCTGGGGTAGCACGACACCTCCTCCGCCCACTTAGACCGCCTATGGCACCGCCCGAACCATGACCGACACACCCGCAAGCGTCGCACCACCCAAGAAACGCAGCCTGTTCAAGCGGGCGGCATGGCAGGATGCGCCCAAGAAAGACGGCGAGGACATGTTCAGCCACTCCAACGAGTTCAATGACATAGTCGCCGAGCAAGCGAGGATCCGCGCAGAAGAGAAGAAGCAGGCCGAGGCAGCCAGGAAGCGCAAACACTCTGAGCCGCGCGACCAGAAGCGCCGTCGCATATCAAACGACACCGAAGAGCCCGTGCCTACCAAAAGTAGCTCAGCCAGCAGAGAGCGGGCGAGTAGGACCGCCAGCAAAGTGTACGCATCAGGCCCTACATCGCAATATTAGTACTAACAATAGCTCAGGCGCAGCAAAGTATCCCCCTCTCCCGCGCCATCGCATCCGCCGCCGGACTCGCTCACGGCACGGTACGACTCCCTCACTAAATCCGCCTCCTCGAGTGTTTCATTGCCACAACAGACGTCTTCCGTCATTGACCTAGGCGATTCAGACCTGGACGACGACTCGGGCTATGTTTCCAAGCCGCACAACGACAAGTCTGAGTTGGACTACAAGCCACCGAGCTCCAACGACAAACAGCCCATAGCCGTCCGACCATCGAAGCCACCTCCTATAGAGATCAAAGATGACGACGACGACGAGGAAGAGGAGGAAGGCCTGGACCCTACAATAGCTGCATTGCAGGCCAGGGCACGAGCGCGCGTTGCAGCGGCCAAGGCGCAAGCCGCAGCAGCATCAAACGGCGACGCTCCGAAAGCACCCATAACGCAGCTCTTTATCGACCCACAAATACCTGGCGCAAATCCATTGATGGTCAGGGTCAGGATAGACAGCACCATCGAGAAGCCACGGCTGGCATGGTGTCAGAAAGAGAAGTTCTCGCCTGAAACAACACGCAATGTCTTCTTCACATGGAAGGGCGCACGCCTCTTCGATAGCACATCGATAAAGCGCTTAGGAATAAAGGTGGAAAACGGCAACTTATCCGTCGAAGGAGACTCCAATATTTACGACGACGTCAACCTCCCCAAGATTCATGTCGAGGCATGGACAGAGGAGATCTATCGGCAGTGGAAGAGGGATGAAGCTGCGGCGGCTGAGGCGAGAAAGATCGCCGCCGCAGCACCTGCCGTGGCAAAAGAAAAGACTCCAACACCAGAGCCCGAGCCCGAACCCGCTTCCAACCGGGTCAGGTTGATCCTCAAGGCGAAGGGTAAACCCGAGTTCAGGTTGACAGTCAAACAGGTATGTGTCGACTGTCCCTTTGGAGTGTGCACAAAAGTGCGACGCCATACTTCATCAGCCTTGTTCAAATGCTAACTAGTCATTAGGAGACCACCGTCGCCCACATCGCAAGTGCCTACAAGAACAGCCAAAAGATCGATAAAAGTCAGCCAATCACGCTTATGTTTGACGGTGAGCGGCTAATGCCCATGGATACTGTGGAAGATTGCGATCTTGATGACAAGTGTATGGTTGAAGTTCTCTTCAAGTGATTAGGTTTCCAGTTGGGATACAACAGATTACCCCGGCGTTCTTGTTTCCTCTCCTAGAGTTGCTTCTTGCTCACTTTGGCGTTGATTTTATGACACGACCGCAAGCATGGCGTTGGTGGAGTACCAGACAGGCTATAAGCATTTGTTGCACGTGCATAGCGACGACTTGGCTTTGCTCATCTATTTGTTGATCCTACAGACTTCTCAGATATTGGGGTTCTTTCTCCGGTTCGCACCACCATCCAGAATCAACTCCTGTCCACTCAAGAAACCCGCACCCATGACGTACTCGACCATCTCAGCGAGATCTTCTCCTCTGCCCACTCTGCCGGCTGGATGTTGCTTGTGGTAGAGCTCGTCCAGATCGTCCGCCCAGGCCTTCATCCTCAGCTTCATCGCTTCCTCCTCATGAGGTGCAGTCTCTTTGTACGATCCGTTTTGCGTCTCTTTGATCTGCAGATCATAAGCTTTGCACTCGTGCTGCACGCTGACCCAGCCCGGCGAGATCGCCATAACACGGATTCCCCAGCGTTGGCACGAGACAGACATGGCCTGTGTGAGAGCCAGTACACCGCCCTTGCTCGCAGCATAGCCTTCGCAATCCGGGTCCGACTGATGAGCGCGGAAAGAAGCAACGTTGATGATGCAGCCTCCTTCGTCGAATTTGTCATCGCCATGGAGATTCAGCGGCAACTGATTGAACTCGTCCGTACGCTTCAAATCTTTCGTCCGATCAACACCCGGCGCACCATCTTTCTGCGTGTTCTTGCTCTTCATGAAAGGAATGACGGCTTGGCTCATATAGAAGGGTGCGCTGAGATTAGTAGCAATGTACTGTTCCCATTGCTCCCCCGTAGCGACATCTTCCATGGTCCCATTTCCTGCGTTGAAGAAGCCTCGCGCTACACCTGCATTGTTGACAAGGACATCTATGCGACCGCCGAAGAATTCCGCGGCTTTGGCAACTGCGCTGCGGATCTCCTCTGGATTGCGGAGGTTGGTTATCGAAGAGCTGACGCGTGGTGCGTAGGAGGCCAGATGTGTGTTTACAGCGTAATCCAATTCGTCTTTGTCGAAATCGATGATGAACACGCGATGCGATGCTGGTAACGAAAGCAAATGTCGTGCTGTGCAGCGGCCGATGCCTCGCGCACCGCCGGTGATGATGATGTTCTTGCTCTTAGTAGACGGCATGATGTTGGATCTGAACTTTTCTGAAAGCGCAAACGCAGGGTCTGGACTGTATCGTACAGACAAGCCGCTTCTTATATCTATCCTATCCGCGTTGGTGGCGCCTCACGCGCGGCAGCAATATCAAGCACCTGGCAGCGGGGAGCACACACCCTTTCAGCCTATTCAGCCCACCTTGGCTTATCCAGAACAGTAGTTCAAGGCCGCTTGTCCGCGAAAGCCCTATCTGGAATAGAAAGGCAGCTTCATAAACGTGCGTGCTGTTGAGAAAGCTTGGTGGGTCTGCGTGTGGTGGTGGGATACGTATCCCGTGGATTGGAAGCAGGCCCGCGGTTCCGTCGTCTTGCGGCCTAGCTTGCTCCGACGGAACGTTGGGTTTGGAGATTTGATGACTGCATAGCGCTGTATACGTTGCCTCGGGCTGCTCGTTGTCTAAGACATGCTAAGCGATGTGTATTGGGCGTGCCTGCAGAGCCGTTGGAGGAGATACGGATTCCGGGAAGACGGATCGGCTTGCGGGCCGTGGAATGTGCTGATTGCCAAAGGGATCCAACCAACACCGATGATGGCCCAACGCTGGTTCTCCTGCCCTTGTCTTCTGTCGCGCGCAATATTGTCTTCCGTTCTTGACATTACCGCGAGAGGTACGTACTTCACGCGGTGGCTGAGAGATCCACTCTTGCCGTCTTGTCGATTTTGCCGAGGTTAAAATGCATTGCCTGACTACCTAGGTACTATCACGACTGCTCATCTCGGATGTTGCTATCATCTCGATTTCTCCATGTGCTCTCACAAAGTGCTGCGCTACCTTCATAATAGAGCAGCTTGAGCAACACGATCCTTCTGATGGAGGGATACGTTCACGATGCCCATAGCGTCATCATACCTCCACCGCCTGGGGCCGCTGAACGAGCGTCAAAGCGGATAGCTTCCTCATCGATACCCCAAAAGCAGAACACA